GTTCTTTAATGAAATGTGCATTGCTATCAGCGGAGCTATCTCAGCCGATAGGCTGCTTGTATATAAAAAGTGATATTTTCGACTTCTTGTTAAAAAGCAAAAGTCCAATTGCTTTGATATTACATATATAGATACTACATGTGGACCTTTCTCAGATTTGTTCATTTCGTGATGATATCTTAAATTCTCTAATTTTGGTGAATATTTTTGTCATTTTTGGTAAAAAGTGATATTTTTGACTTCTTGTTAAAAACAGCAAGTCTGATTGCTATACATACTATACATATTGTTCATTTTCTAATGATATCTTCAGTTCTTCAATTGAAATGTGCCTTGCTAACAGCGGAGCTATCTCAGCCGAGAGGCTGCTTGTTTTTCTTTCAGAATTGTTGAATTTTCTGGCAATACTAATATTAATTTTTTTAACAATTTTACTTGCTTCTGTTACACAACAAAAAACATTTTGCATGAAAAATCATAAATTTAATGACAATTTCAAAATCAAAATAAAATTCTGTTTGCACTTCAATTTTAGGAGAAAAATGAACACAATTTTGTTTCTAGCTCGTTAAAATCAACAAACTCAAAGGATGATACAACAATACAATATTACAGATATGCAAATGAGTTGCTATTCCTTCATTGTGATTGGTGTGAAAAACCTTGGTGCCAGACACCTAATTGTGTTAATAACTCCTGTACTAATGACTAGTGTAGTTTGCTTCTTAAAGATCTTTAATAACCACTTAACTTTGAAAGCTCAGGAAGTGAACCTGGAGGTGACCAGTGTTATTAGCAGAAAGCAATTAGCACAACTGGCAAGACAAAATTGTACAGAACGATTTACGAACTAGCTTAGAATTAAAATATTGTCCTTCACCCAATAAAGTAATAAAAATAATCCACACTAATTCTTCACAGACAACCCCCCCCCCCAGCAGAATAATCTCCTGCCCCTGTTAGTCTGAATAGAAATTACAGTATTACAGTTAATAATGATACGTTCAATAGTCTGCACTTTGCCTCAATTCTCTGTAATGATGTGAGTTTTCAAAGAAGTGAAGGCATTTTATTTTATGCGACAGCTTCTTGAATAGTCTGTCTCAGTTGACTCTATTAATTTTTTTTTCTGCGTTTAAATAAATGTACATTGACATTTGTACAAGCAAACAGTGTTCCATGATTGTAATCACTATACAAAACATGGTTGTATGAACCACGGTTACTAAAACCACGGTAACCGTGTATGAACATATCTCCTATTATAATTATATTACGGTATGATTTAATGATGTCGAACAAAAGACTTCCCGAAATGGATTTTTTTTTTTACAGTGACTCAGTAAGTCAGTAAACGCTTTGTGACTGGTAAATTACTCTTAATGGTTTTCCATGTACCGGTAGTTGAAGAATGATGCTATATGGCAGACATTTACAAAACTGATGTAGATAATTCATTTGCTAATACTGTGCATGACTTTATTTATCTCATGGCTGTATCCCACATAGATAAAATCTCATGGCTGTATCTGCCATTGATAAAATCTCATGGCTATATCTCACATTGATAAAATCTCATAGCTGTATCTGCCATTGATAAAATCTCATGGCTGTATCTCACATTGATAAAATCTCATAGCTGTATCTGCCATTGATAAAATCTCATGGCTGTATCTCACATTGATAAAATCTCATGGCTGTATCTGCCATTGATAAAATCTCATGGCTGTATCTCACATTGATAAAATCCCATGGCTGTATCTCACATTGATAAAATCTCATGGCTGTATCTCACATTGATAAAATCCCATGGCTGTATCTCACATTGATAAAATCTCATGGCTGTATCCCACATTGATAAAATCTCATGGCTGTATCTCACATTGATAATATCTCATAGCTGTATCTGCCATTGATAAAATCTCATAGCTGTATCTGCCATTGATAAAATCTCATGGCTGTATCTCACATTGATAAAATCTCATGGCTATATCTCACATTGATAAAATCTCATGGCTATATCTCACATTGATAAAATCACATAGCTGTATCTGCCATTGATAAAATCTCATGGCTGTATCTCACATTGATAAAATCTCATGGCTGTATCTCACATTGATAAAATCTCATGGCTGTATCTGCCATTGATAAAATCTCATGGCTGTATCTGCCATTGATAAAATCTCATAGCTGTATCTGCCATTGATAAAATCTCCTGGCTATATCTCACATTGATAAAGTCTCATGGCTGTATCTGCCACTGATAAAATCTCATGGCTGTATCTGCCATTGATAAAATCTCATGGCTGTATCTGCCATTGATAAAATCTCATGGCTGTATCTGCCATTGATAAAATCTCATGGCTGTATCTGCCATTGATAAAATCTCATGGCTGTATCTGCCATTGATAAAATCTCATGGCTGTATCTCACATTGATAAAATCTCATGGCTGTATCTCCCATTGATAAAATCTCATGGCTGTATCTCACATTGATAAAATCTCATGGCTGTATCTCACATTGATAAAATCTCATGGCTGTATCTCACATTGATAAAATCTCATGGCTGTATCTCACATTGATAAAATCTCATGGCTGTATCTCACATTGATAAAATCTCATGGCTGTATCTCACATTGATAAAATCTCATGGCTGTATCTCCCATTGATAAAATCTCATGGCTGTATCCCACATTGATAAAATCTCATGACTGTATCTCACATTGATAAAATCTCATGGCTGTATCTGCCATTGATAAAATCTCATGGCTGTATCCCACATTGATAAAATCTCATGGCTGTATCTCCCATTGATAAAATCTCATGGCTGTATCTGCCATTGATAAAATCTCATGGCTGTATCTCACATTGATAAAATCTCATGGCTATATCTCACATTGATAAAATCTCATGGTTGTATCTCACATTGATAAAATCTCCTGGCTGTATCCCACATTGATAAAATCTCATGGCTGTATCTCACATTGATAAAATCTCATGGCTGTATCTCACATTGATAAAATCTCATGGCTGTATCTCCCACTGATAATATCTCATGACTGTATCTGCCATTGATAAAATCTCATGGCTGTATCTCAAAGTGTTGCGATATATAAGATAATTATATATAATCCAACAATATTTTTCTCTTGGGTTGACGTCAACAGACACCGATGATAGTGATAACATTTTTGTATCAATCCGTGCCATAGGGGAGGATTGATTTTGCAATATGTGCTGACGTCAACATAAGAGAAAATACTGTGAATTTGTACAAACACGCATGTTTTCATTTTTCATAAAAGTGAAACGACAGTGTTGACAGTCGAACCATTACACTGTTCTATTTTGCATGAATGCCTTGCAAATGTACTATGTAGAGAATCTACTCATTCATGATATTTGCTACAATTGCTTTTGAGCAACTGAATATTAGTTCTGAAAATAAGCTTGCCAACATGAATCATTTTCATGCTAATCTATAGTTATCTTTGATTTCTTATGTATTACATCTAACTGTGGAGATATGCATGATATGCATGTGATAAATATCATTATACATCTGTCACCGTAACGCCATAAGTTACAGCGTGCTGTAATTTTGCAATATTTTATTGTGTATTTTCATCCTACCATATAGGGAAATGCGAATCCAAATATGGAATGATTACGCAAGTAAGCATCCTTTAATAATAAAAACAAACATGGCT